TTTCCATCCCAGAGAGTTTCACACCAGTCAGGCCACAGCTGGAGCACAATCCCAGCCAGTGGCCCCAAGCCTGGCACTGCCTCTGGAGCCACCACAGCAGAGCCCAAGGGACTGGAGCAAATAACTCCCCGAAAACCTTCATCTTTGGAAATCAGTTCGGCACTGCAGAGCTCGAGAGCTCCCACGGGCCAGCCCTGGGATGTGAGCAGTGCTCTGGGGCCTTGTAAAACAATAAACAGCAGTAATGAGTGAGCGTGGAAATGTGCAGAGGCTCATAAAGCTGCTGCTCCAGAGAACAAGTCACCCCTAAGGGCCAGCTGGGAAGAAGCTCCCGCTGGAGCATCACTGCTGGTGCTGGGCTCGCTGGCCCTGGGGCAGCACCAGGTGAGGGTCTGCTCCGAGGGCAGATGCCATGGGAGGACAGGGAAATCCACCCCCTGAGTGAGACAGGGGGCTGGGGAGCAGCAGGACTGTCTGTGTCAGGAGCTGAGCTCCTGCTTGCCAGGGGAGCTGCAGACGTGCCCACAGCGTGCTCACAGCTCACCAGAGCTACCTGGGGGCAGGCGGCTGAGGAGACACGGGGGGACCCATCAGCCTGAGGATCAACAGCTGCTGTCTTTCTGCTCCTCCTCTGACACACCTGACGTGACATTCCCAATCTGAGCCATCAGCCAGTGGTGCTGCTCCAGGTAACTAACAATCTGGGGGATGATGGCAATACAGCTTTGAGTTTTGATGCTCTTTGTTAATGTTTTCCATGGAAGGCTGGACATTTCCTCTTAGCAAGGCACCGGTAAGTTTGGGCAGTTAGTTTTTATTTCAAGATGACAACGTGTGAGCAGTATGGCCAGCCTGGATCCGGCCAGGCACTTCCAGGCACTCTAATTCCTCCTAATTTCTAATCTAACCCTGCCCTCTGTCAGTGGGAAGCCACTCCCCCTTGTCCTTTAAAAGCCGTGTGAATGTGGCACTTGGGGACATGGGCTAACGGTGGCTTTGGCAGTGCTGGGGGAACGGTTGGACTCGATGGTCTTGGAGGGCTTTTCCAACCTAATGGATTCTATGATTCCATGATTTTAGGGCGCGTTGCATCCTTTTCGCGGTTTCTATCCCGGCGGCGGTGCTAGAGGGCGCCTGGAGTCCGCGAACCGGCACCGAGGGCCGGGCACAGCGGTGAGGGGCCGAGCCCGCCGGGTCCCGCACGGCTCGGGGGGCCCGGGGGAGCCCCTGGGTCTGCCTGCGGCCATCTGGGTGGGCGATTAGAGCGGGGGAATGGAAATATGGGCGGGGAGCAGGAGCCAGGACTGGTGATGGAGATGGTCCTCGTGGGGGTCATTCCCCAAGTACCACAGCATCAATCCCAGGGCAGTGGCAGAGTCCCCGTCCCTGGAGGGATTTAAAAGCCGTGTGGACATGGCACTAGGGGACATGGATTAGTGGTGGCCTTGGTGATGCTGGGGGAATGGTTGGACTCAGTGGTCTTGGAGATCTTTTCCAGCCTAAACAATTCCACGATTCTATGATCATGAAAGCGAGGGGGACACAAAATGCAGCCACAGAGTAACACACTGCAGAGATAGGAACAGCCACTTCCTCCCAGGAGAAACAGAGATCATGACCTCCTCTGGGATACTTCTATTCCATACCTAGTGGGAGAGCTCTCTCCCCACGACATCAGCTGAGGACAAGCTGTGCTCCTTCCATCAGGTGAGAGTTCTTCTAAGCAGAGAAATAACAGCCATACATGAATACAGCTACAAGGGACCTCAGGTCATGGCAAGGGAGCGGAGAGGTCAAGAGAGGCATTTTTCCTGCCTTTTTCAAGCTGCACACAAGATACAGTGGATGCATGTTGCTGGAGGCAGAAGGATCCTGTCCTGGCTCAGCCATCCTGGCTGCAATCCCATCTCCATCTGCACAGAGCTTCCCCATGAACACGCCTAGGCAACAAGGTGTCCCCAGCAGCTGCTCATGGACCTGCACTGGGCGCTGCAGGCGTGAGCCAGTGTTCAGTGCACTGAAGAGGGGGTGCCTCGGGGTTTGGGGCACACAGTGGGGTTCCACGGCTGTCTGGGTACTGCTGAAACCATCTGTGGTGGTTCTGGGATCTGGCTGGAGGGCCTGGAGGCAGCAGTGACATTCCCAGCCAGCCACAGCTCCGTCACGTTCTGCTGACCACAGAGGATCTGCCCATGTGCTGGGTGCACTCGTGCAGGGCTGGAGGGATGGGGGAATTAACACCCTCTTGGTTGGGGTTTGAATTCTGCTGCAAGTAAACAGTGTTGAGAAACTCTCCAGTTCCTTGCCAGTGGGAGGAACCAGCAGAATCCCTTCCCCACAACGAGCCATTCCCAGCCTCGCAGTGAGCAGCAGCCTCCCAGCCCCAGAGTACATTTTCCACTTCCATCATTTTCTGCAGTTACTGCTCTCCCATCATAACTCAGCGACAAGACCTTCCTCCAAGATCAAAAATCGTGACTCAATGTGAACAAATGATTCTGTTGCTGCTGTGTCGAGGTTTGCTGTCTCCTTGCCCACTCACTCACGTACTTCCTTGCTCGTTGCCCTCGTTACAGCTTGGCAGCCCTGGCTTTTCAGGGTCAGCCCTTAACTTCATTCCATCGGCTGGATTCCATTAGCCAGCTAGTCTGCTGATTGCAATCCACACACAGAATATTTTCTCCTTACTGTTATCTGAAAAAATATGGGCATCAGTACAGAAAAAAAGAAAAAAAAAACACCACCCAAAAAAAGCAATTCACATTTGAGGGAGCGGAAATAAATACATTGTAGTCACATGAGGAAATAGTAACTGCAGGGCTATTTTGGGCACAATACATCATGCAAAGGATGATGTGTCTTTCAAGCAGATTTCAAGCCTAAAAGGCACAAAATGTTTTTGGAAAGTAAATTCCCACACACATTAAGCACCATGCCAAGGAGTGGGATCAGATGCTGTCAGACTTTATATTTCAGAGTTTGAATATGGGAAGCCGAGGCCCCAGTTAGTTTCTTCATGGAGAAGGTTGTTAAACACTGAAATGGACTGCTCAGGGAGGTGGTGGAGTCCCCAGCCCTGGAGGTGTTCAAGAAACAACTGATGTGGCACTCAGTGCTCTGGGCTGGGGGACAAGGTGAAGATTGATGAAAGGTTGGACTTGGTGATCTTGGAGGTCCTTTCCAAACTTTTGTCTCTGAGGTAAAGGAACAATGCCTGTGTTTGTTGCTCACAGGAGCTGAGTGTGCAGGACAATCACAGCCATCAAGTGGCACATGCTGAAACTCATGACCTGGCCCCACCATGAGTGTATCCTCGTGGAATGACTCAGTGAGGGCATCCTACACAGACACAGAGACGAGGTTTAGGCAAGTCCAACCCACTGAGAGAGGCAAACCTGCCCCCCAGGCCCTCCTCTCTCCAGGTCTGTTCTCAGCAGAGGAGAAGGGGGGGTAGCAGGCTCTGAGGCTCCACTCCTTCCTCTGGTCCCACCCCAAACAATTGTTCTTGCTCCCTGCTGCTCTCACTCCTCGGGTGCTTGCAGACAGTGAGCATGTCTCTCTCCTACCCCTTTTTGTTTTGGTTTCTCCCTCGAAAGCTGCCAGGCAGAGTTCCTGAGCCCACTGATTGCCAGGGCCCTACTGCCACAGTCCCTGCTGCAGTGTCCGGGTGGCAGCTCCTCGGCACACTCACCATGGGAGCACTGGGAATGCCAGGAGCACACGAGGGAGCAGCAAAAGCTGGCAGAGGCACGGGGTGCAGCTCTGAGGGGAGGCTGGACAGAAGGCAGCCCTGCTTGGCTGTGCAAGCTGCTTCAGACCAGTACCAAGCACCTCTCACCCTGGCACTGGGGCATGGGCTGTTCAAGGGGAGCAGCCTCTGTGGTGGGTGACCCATCTTTTTGGGGAGGGACAGCCCTTCTCACAGGGGTGCTCTCCAGGCAGCTCTTCCAGAGGTTTTCCTATCGACAGTAATTGCTGGAACAGCCATGACTGAACAGACTGTGGGCTCAGCTTTGCCCATGGGCAGTTCTGAGGCTCCAGTGGATGCTGGCATTCCTGGTGCCAAAGCTGACCTGGGGAGATTTGCTGCACTGAACTTCAGTGTTACATAGGAATGTTTTCAGGGTGTGAATGGTTGCAAGAATTAATGGAATTGCATAAATGAAGGGCAAGATTTTCCTGTCCCCATTTAGCAAAAAACCTGCTGAAAGTGTTGTCTGGATCAACAAATCTCAGGAGAACCAGTTCAAAAGCAGCTTCTCCCATGTTTTATTTCAGCTTTCTCATATCTTCCCCTCGGTGGAGGGCCAGGGCCATGTTCCATATGTCCCATCACACTGTAACGAGGCACATGTGAAAGACCAACAAATTAGGGTGGGAAATTATCAGCTGTCACACCTATCCACTGCTTCCAAACAGGCTGGGGATGGTTTTGGGGACATGCCCTGTGTAATGATACTTCCTTTCATTGTATGGAGATTTTATTTTAGTTATATCCTTCAATCACTTTAAACTAGAAGCAGTTCAGATCCCCGAGGAGCCACGGTGGAATGATGGGATTGACCTCACCAGGTGTGAGCCAGGGCCAGTGCCTGGGCCAGTGTGGGGTGTGAGTGGCACTGAAACCTGATGGATTTGCTGTTTAATGGTAAAAAAAAAAAATGCACTGAAAAGTACCTGACTTGTTCTTCCTCCGTCTCCAAGGTACCTCTGTACTGTAGGTGTGTAAAGCACTCCACAACCTGAGCTCTTACTGGATCCCACAGCCCCTGGGAACGGGCACCAGCCACGGGAACCGGGTGCCAAGGGCCTTCAGGAAGGGCTCAGGGGGGTGTTGGTGCTCCCGTCTGTCCATTGCCCTGTGTGCCCAGGTGGGGAAGCCCCCCTGGCATTGTGAGACACCCCACCCCCCCGCCATCTCCAGCACAGTTCTATCCTGCATCGCCTGCCCTGCCCAGTTTCTGAGATGCCCCTCATCGGGATAATCCTTGTTTCCCGGGATGTCCATGTTCCCCGGGATGTCGCTGCTCCCCGGGATGCTCCTGTCCTCAGGATGCTCGTGTTCCCCGGGATGTTCCTGCCTCCTGGGACCTCCGTGTCCCACGGAATCCTCCTGCTTCGGGGACCCCCTTCTCCAGGGATCCCCCTGCCCCCGGGACACCCGTTCCCCACGGATCCCCCTGCTCCCGGGATGCCTCTGCCCCGCCAGGGACACTCATCCCCCGGGACCTTCTGCTCCAGGAATCCCCCCGTTCCCGGGACACCTCTGTCCCCCGAGACCCCCGTGCCCCTTGCGGCACCGCTTCCCCACGGGATTCTCCTGCTCCCGCGACCGCCGTGCCCCCGGGACACCCCACCCCCGCGGGACTCTCCTGCCTCCGGGACCTCCTGCGCCCGGGACGTCCCTATCCCGCGGGACCCCCCGTGTCCCCCCGGCCGGCCGGCGCGGGAGCCCCGCGGTGCGGAGCGGATCGGAGCGGAGCGGGGGCGGCCCGGGCGGGCGCGGGGCTGGAGCGGGGCTGGAGCGTGCGCCGCGTTTCCGCCGGGCGGGAGGCGGAGCGGGGGCGGCCGCGGGCCGGGCGGAGCAGCAGAGCCGAGCGGCGCCGGGCCGGGCCGGGGCTGTCAGCGCGGCGAGCGGAGCCCCAGCGGGCCGGGCCATGGCGGGCGGGCGCTGAGCCGGCCGAGCCCGGCCGAGCCCCGGGGCAGCGGCGCGCCGGGGCCATGCCATGCCCGTAGGGAGAGATGCCTTTGGGAAATGGAGACACTGGATCACAGCGCAAACATGGCGCCCCCGCGGCGCGGCTGCCGCTGCCGGGCTGGTGCCTGCTCTGCTCGCTGCTGTGCGGGGGCATCGCGGCCGGCCCGGCCCCCGCCTGCCGGCCCTGCGCCCCGGGCTGTGCCTGCGCCGCGCCCGCCTGCGCCGTCAACTGCTCGGCCCGCGGCGTGGAGCGCCCGGGGCCCGCCGTGCCCGCCGCCGCCACCGCGCTGTGAGTACCGCGGGCACCGGGGCGGCACCGCCGGGGGGACGGAGAGTGGGCACCGGGACGGAGCGCGGGCACCGGGACGGAAAGCGGGCACCGGGATGGAAAGCGGGCACCGGGATGGAAAGCGGGCACCGGGATGGAAAGCGGGCACCAGGACGGAGCTCGGGCACTGGGATGGACAGCGGGCACCGGCCCGGCCCCGCCGCCGCTCGGTGCCCGCGGAGCCCCCGCGGGGGATGCGCGGACCCGCAGCCCGAGCCGCCTCCCCGGGGTTCAGCCCAGACCCAGGGCGGGATAACCCCGCGTGTCCCGAAAGGGACAGCCCGGCGGGGCCGTGGGGGGATGGAGCGGGAGGTTCTGTGCGCGGAGTTTTGGTTTCTGGGGGAATGCGGGAGGTTCTGTGCGCGGAGTTTTGATTTCTGGGGGAATGCGGGAGGTTCTGTGCGCGGAGTTTTGATTTCTGGGGGAATGCGGGAGGTTCTGTGCCCGAAGTTTTGGTTTTGGAAGTTCTGGGGGAATGCAGGAAGTTCTGTGCCCGAAGTTCGAATTCAGAGGTTCTAGGGGATGGCAGGAGGTTTTCTGCGCGGAGTTTGATGTCTGGGGGAATGCAGGAGGTTCTGTGCTTTGAGTTTTGATTTCTGAGGCCCTTGGGGAGTGGCAGGAAAGGGGTGTTGGGGAAATGAGCAGTTGGATGTGGGTTAAATGCTGTTAACAGAAAATTCAAAGGACCCAACTAAAAAGTTCAAATAAACATTTGCCCGTGGAAGCGCTGGGATGGGATGACAGATGTGTGTGTATTCAGATGCTGGTTTTGTTGTTTTGGGAAGATCAGTCAGGAAGATCAGTGAAGGGGCACTGGAATGGTCCACGTGCACAGTCACTGAAGTAAAGTTACTGTATGACGCAAAAACAGACATAAGGGAGAAGTTTGGGTTTGAACCTAAATTTGTGTTCTGTAGGAAGCAACTTTTCAGTTCTTGACGAGACAAAAGCATCAAGTGATTCATATAAGAGAGATGATGTGGGGCCCAGCGCAATAGATAAATCTCACATGAACTTACTTCTGCTGGTATTTCACTACATTAAGGGTCTGCTTTTCTCTTTGCATATTCTTGACTAAGTTTCCACTTCTTAGTGTCAATACAGAGATACTGTAGAAGTTGTAGAGCACCACATTAAACATAAATTGTAGGTTTTGCAGGATGTGTCTGGAAATGCACATCTCTAAATCCAGCAAGCAAGGTATTTTCCAGCTCTTTTTTTACAAGATATATTTAGACTTTTCCAAACAAACCAGCCATTGTTTGTCGCAGAAAGTCCCTAACTGGGAAAGACTGGTTTTTATTAAGGAGTTTCTGGGTTTGTGTTATCTGATGTTGGTTAGAGATGGGGAACTGCAGCTCCCGAGGCTGTGACAGAGGTGGAATGTGCCAGCCCATTGCTGGTCACTGTAGAGCAGCCTCCTGAAGGCTGTGGTGATCTGTCCTTCATTTGGCTTTTTGTTATTGCTGTTCAGAGGCGCTGAGTTGTAAAACTCTCAAAACGTTTTGGATTAGATGCTGTTGTGTAATGACAAATGGAAGCTGGACATAAATCTCCTGCAAAAACATGGGACAGGGAAACCTACTGAAGCGATGGATGGTGTTACTGATCTGCCTCTGATTCCGAGGGAGAAGCGTTTGTGTATGGCACTGCCGAGAGCAGTGGAAGGGAGGAGCTGAGGGATGGCTGTCTTTGGAATTAAGACCATAGGGTCATCTTTGTCAGGCAGCACATCATCTTGTGTGTGCAGTCAGCTGAAAATGTGGGCTGGTACCGTTCTCATGGCTGGTGGAAGATGTGAAGTGGGTTTCCTTTAAATTTACTGCCCTGTTTGACCTCCTGTTTTTGGCAAAGAAGGCAGGTGTACTTACACCTTTGTAATTTCCATGAAGGATTTACAGTTTCATTTCTGTTGGGGTGAGAGGGGCTCTGGCTCATGGCACAGTGAGGTTACACAAGCGGCTTTGTCTATTAATTTCATGTTCCCTTTATTGAACACTGACAGATAAATAATATTTTTAATGATTGCTGCCTGTTCTCTCATTAGAGGAAAACTTTTCTTTTTTTAATATCTCAACAAAACCTTTTTTTAAAAAATTAATTATTCTGAAATGAAGGCAGCCTTTAAGAAGGCCAAGTTCAGAAAATTTCCAGCGCCAAAGCTCCCGGACCCTGTGGCGTGTGTGCTCACAGCTGCTCTCAGCAGTGCCATTCCGTTCCTCGAGCTGTAGAAGTAAGGCCTAGGCATGAATTCCCCCCGTGTTTGATGTTTTAGCTGTAGCAGCTTTGGGGAAATAAATGCCAACTGCGGCAGCACCGTTACCAGGAGCCCAGAGAAATGCCCCGTCCAAAGAATCACTAAGGAAATCAGCTCTGCAGCCCACAGACACCACATACCTCGCTGGGAGCAGTCTCCTGGCAGAGCCTGGGAATACTGGCCCCTTCCCATGGCCAGAGTGGGGTTCTTGAAGTGTAAGGCAAAGTCTGGCTGGAAACAGGAGCAAAGGCTGTTTTTTTTCAAGTAACTCGCAGTGCGCAACATAAAAAACTGAGCTTGAGGAGCAACACGCTTGGAGTGGCAGCATTTGCACTTCTGAGCTCCTCCGTCCGAGGAACGCTCTGATCCATCTCTTTTCAAGTGCTCTGCTCTCAGCGTTACCGGATTTTGTTCGTGTTTATTTGAGCCTGAGCTGTTTTGTGAGCTTTCGTCGCTCCCGTCATTCCTCAACTGGAAATAAAGCTCATCGAGGTTTTCCGACTTCCCCTTGCAAATGTTGATTCTTTCTGACACGTCTTTGGTGTCATGGTAGGTTTGAAGTGGAAATTAGAATTTTGATGTACAAAGATGAGAGTTGAGACTTCCTTATTTTTCCTTCATTACCATGGAATAGTCTTTGTGGACAGGCGAGAAGGAGAAGCTGGGATCAGAGGAGCTCTGCTATCGCCAGGCTCTGGGTTTGGGGGTCAGAACTTTCATCCAAAACCCAGTGGGGTTTTTTGTGGATTTGGCAGTGAGCCCTGGGGTTGCACTGCCCAGCCGGTGACTTCACCCAAGTAAACCTTAAAATAAACAGATCTTATGATTCAGGAACCTGCAGTCTGTGATATTTTAAATTTCAAGAGTCAGCAACCATCAGTGGATTTTGGTGTGATTACGTGATGCAGAAAAAGCCTTTTCAAGGCTTGAGGTGTCTTCAAAAGTTATCAGGGAAAAAACCAATCCAATTTAAATTAAAATCTACTTCAGGTAAACCCACAGGCAGTGGAGTATCTGTGCAGTAGTGTCCAGGCCACAGAGGCAAAATAGCTCTACTGCTGTTCCTAGAAAAAAACTGAGACAGCCTGGAATGTCATTCTTGTAGGAAGCCATATCCCAGCGAAAACAAGGCTGCATTTCTCTTTTGTAAGAAATTCTGGAGGGGGAAAAAGGCCCAAATGAGGTGCTAGATAAATATTTTGCCAATGAGATTCATTCAGCCTATAGAAGGGACCAGTCCCATAAGCAACCTTAGCTATAGTTTGAGCGTGAACAAGGAGGCAATTCTGTGGTGTTCTGTCAGCAAAATGGGCTCTGGTGGTATACAGGACTGGATTGTTTATTGTCCTGTTCCATAAAGCTTCAGGGAAATCTGAGTGCTGTTCCCATGGCTGAGAAATTTACCTTTTTTTAAAATTAAAATGTTGGCTTTTTTTTTTTTTGGTGGTGTTTAAAAGTGTGTTAAGAAAAACGTCCTCCTAGTAAGAACAGGCATCCCCAGCGAGGAGGGTTCGAAGGTGTTCCTGCTCCGTGGCAAAAGTTGCAATTAGATAATCCTGAGCAGCATCAACGTGTGTTTACTTTTGTGATTTGCAGTTCGGTGCAGCCAAATCTACAAGCCCTGGTAGTGATAAAGAAACACATGTTAAAGCACTGGAATTAAACATCTCGAAGCCCCAAGGGGCAGAGGATGAGCTGCTGCCCTCACCTTTTGGGGCTCCTCTGACATCTGGTGTGGTTTTTCCTGTGTACTCTTTGCATTGATTTTTTCCCTGTATTTCCTGCAATTTTTAAGCTTACTGGTGGTGTTTTTCTGCGTGTGGTTTTTTCCTTGTTGAAGTCAAAATGTGGGCTTGATCCTGCTCTTCTCCTGCTGGTGAGCCTCCGGCAGGTCTCTCTTGTGTTTCAGCCAATTTATTTCATCCTGCTCTCACAAAAAGTGGATTTAAAAGAAAATCACTCACTCAGAAGATAGAACTCATATGGTTTGTTAATGCTTCTCTCCCTGTTTGCCATTTAATGAGATTCCTTGTTTTATCTCTTGTCATGCCACGTTTTCCACACTCTGGTTTCCATAATGTGTCTCTGCGTCATCCTTTCTCTGTTTCTTCAAGATTTGTTGTCCTTTCATTGTTGTAGTTCAGCTTGATTTTGTATTTTATTTACTCCATATGTCCCCAAACATTTATCTGAGTTGTAGTAAACGAATAAGAAAATAAACAGGGGTGAAGAAGGATAGCTTGGGAGCAAAGCTGTGCATTCCAGTGCCAGGGTGGAGCGGGCTGGGAGCTGCACGGACAGACGATCTTGCTCTTACTGTGAGGAGAGTGCACAGGAGAAGGTGGGGGACTGTGGGGGAAACAGCACTTGTGAATTAGTTCCTCCATGGCCA